GTGTTACGTTTTTATTATTATTCATGTGTCCAACTATAAAAATATAAAATAATATTTTTCTTATTTATAAAAGTAATATCAAATTTAATAACGTTCGACAAATTTTTCAATAGAAGAACAAAGATATTTTTTCTATCAACTTTTAACGTATTTAAAACAAAAAAGAAATATATATATGCAATTATTACTTTAAAATTAATAATAAAATAATTCAATGCATACACGTGTTACGTTTTTATTATTATTCATGTATCCAACTATGAAAATATAAAATAATATTCGTAGACGTTTTAAAAAAGAATAAAAAGTCAAATGTAATAAGATAACAAAAAAAATATGACAACGAGACGAAGAAAATAAAAGAAGCGAGGATGAATTTGTCGTCCAGCAGTTGGCAAACGGTAAACTTTGTTTTCCCTAGAAAGTATGCATCCCTTCGTGTTTATAACTATATACAACATCATTCCTCTTTATACACATCACACTAAATTGTGTTTAGTTTAACGACAATAAAGAAACGTTCTCAAAGAGGGATAGATGTTTTATAATGCGACTCTATGGTGTTTTAAGGGAACGGTCGTTTAGAAATTAGTCAAATTAAATTCTAGTTGAGAAAATTTAATATCTTCCTTTTTCCCCTAGCCCCCTACCCCCTTCCCTTCTACCTTCCTTCATCTTCCTTTTCTCTTTTTATCTTTATCTTTATCTTTCTCTGTGACAAGACAAACGTTAATTCACTTTTACGATGGAATACTAAAGATGGAAATTTATGATTTTTTTTTTTAAACGTTGCCAAGTAATATATGTTACCAATTTTTTCTATAATAAACAAATGAATATAAAAACGAACGAACTATATTAATATATATAACTGTATTATTATATATATATTAATATATAATACAATTATATTAATATACAATATATATATATGGTGAATAAATAAAAATTAAAAAAAAATAAATAAATAAATGGTAAAAATTAAAAGGTAAGGATATACGATAAAGGGTCAAAGGTCGATGCTTGCACTAAAGATAGTAGACCGGCAGAATGCATCTTTCATGGGTAGATATAGGTAGCCTGAAAATAGTAGGCGTACAAAAAAGAGAGACAGAAAGACGATGAGAGTGAGAAAGATAGAATGGGGGAGGGAAAAAAAAGGAAGAGAAAAAGAGATAAACGAATTGTACACACTCGATGGAAATACTTGTTTAGTTTCTTGGACGTGTTCGTATTTGCCAAAGGAAAACGAAGTTAACATCAATGATGTTTTCTTTATAAACAATTCTACCTTATTTTCTTACCTTCTTACTTTTTGTTATTGCTCAACTCAATCTGACATATCGACCAATTTCTCTATTCGAGTATTAACAAATATTTCATTAGTTTTACTACTGTATAGAAAGAAAAAAAGGAAAAAAAAAATAAAAGAAGAAATCAATAAATCGATCAATCTAAAATTATCTCTCTTATCCTAGATTAAATCGAATATATTTTTATAAATGAAATAAGACGATTGATTAATATAGGAATACATATTTTATTTGACGTTTATTTTATTAATAATAAAACTCGAATTTAATATTAATATGCATTTATAAAATTTGTTAAGGAGAAGAAAAAATATGAATAATCAATAATTCAATAGAATAATTTTACTTTATATGCGAATAGAAAATAAGTCGAGATATTTTAATAGTAAATTATAGAATATTTCATTAATTATTATTAATCTATAATATATATTGGATTTTTTTTTGTTTTATTTTATTTTATAGGATAAAAATCCAATAAATACGAAACGTACAAAAAGAGATTAGGTAAAAGTTAAGAAAATTAGTAATTCAAATAAATTCGTTCAATTTGAAATGAACTTTCATTCCACAATAAAAAGAGTGTAATAATCTTAACTTAAAACTAACTAAAAAGAGACACCTAAGAGAAATAGAAAGGAAAAAAGATAACGGGGAAGAAAAGAGAAAAAGAGAGATAGAAAGTTATATTATGGTTAATCGTAAAAGAGTTGAATCTTTTACTCGGGTTTTAAGTACATTAACGTTTCCTCGACGAAAATAAGTTTAGAATTAAATCGTGCGACGTAAACTTTCAAGGCTAATGCCATTCATCGGTGTCTACAGTTTAATCGGTACAGTCACGAAATCCTGCAATTCTCGAAATCTATTTTCGTAAGAGAGATCATAAAACCCTTCAACCTTATGGTATCTCATCTATATGATAATATTGATCGAATTTACGTGTTCTTTAAACCCTGACGATGAAACAAAAATAAACCAAAAAAAAAAAGAAAATAAAAATAAATTAGAAAGAAAGAAAGAAAAAGAAGAAAAAAAAAGAGCATTGAAACTTATCGATGCATAAAAAAAACGATAACTGCAGTCAAACGAAGCGTCATAATTATTCTCAATAACGAAAGTGTATTATACGACACACATACACTTGTATAGAAATGCACAGGTGTGTGTGTGTTTTCTAATAATCGATCGTATCTAAACGAGACGCACATCGGTTAAAATAATCGAGCCTTTTAATAGTACACCCTGTAGTAAATAATTTTCAAGTATGATAACGAGAGAAAATATATAAATTAGATCTTGATCGTGTAATAAAAATTCAAACGAATACAAGGTTATACCACTTTATACCGTAGGACATATTCATTGCAAATAATACGAGCCCTTGGTATGTAATAGGTAAAATCAACTTTTCTACCTATTCGTGTTAAGATAAGGAAAGGTCGAGATGTGACCTTTTGGTAGAAAAGCTAGGTCGTAGAAAACGCCATAGATTTTCTTTTTTTCTCTTTTTTTTTGTTTAAATCCAATGGGTAGGAGAATAAGCCTTATCTAACGGGTTTATCTAACGACTTTCCTTCTTACGAGTTATCTTAATTTGATTCATAATTAATTAGGATTGTTGATTGATACAATCTAACGATAAATAATGTGATATTAAAGTCAAATAATTTACCCTTGATTAATTATATATATTAAATAATTTAAATCATGAAATATAGAAAAAGGAAAACAAAAAAAAATGATTGATTGATAATTTCGATAGGTCAATTTTGGTTGTGTGCGTTCGATTAGTATAATAATACCTCTTTTCTAAGAGCACCCTTAAGCGGTGGTGGCTGAGGTCCTCCGTTCTCCAACAATAGACTTTTGGTGCTACCACCCTTGACCCTAACGCTGCTCCATCTTTGACGGGGCACATCTGTCATTTTGTCAATTCTTTCGGCTTCTTTCAAGGATCCACCTTTAACGCGAAGTGCACCCAATACAGTGGGTGGTACCGGTACCTCTAATTGCCCCAAGAGATGCTCCGACATCGCTCTAGGGGACTTGATGCAAGTCATTGTTGCTGGGGCTAGCGTGTTTGCCGATGAAACAGACTTTACCAACAAATCTTTACCTTCTTTAGTCCAAGAAGATAATTTTCTACCTAACGACAACGTATTTGGTGTTGATTCGTTGATTGATGATGATTGTTGTCCTTGTTCGTTAGGAAAAGTATCCCTCAATTCGTTTCGATCGTTTTCAAGTATTTCCGTGACACCACCCCCAACACCGGTTGCCGATTTTAATATTGAACAAGTACCCAATGATTTACGTTGTTGTCGTTGTTGTTGTTGATAATAATGTTGTTTAACCGAATTAGGAGAATTAGCCATAGAATTACCACCTAATACTCTTTTCCTAGCACCGAATCTATTAACAATCCTATTACCCGTATTTTTATTACGACGTACGCTCAAACTCGTTCTAGTACCCTCAATCAAAGCGTCCCTTTCTTCAGATGACAATTCACTTTCTTCTTGAAGATCCGATGATGTGCTATCACTTATTCTACAAATACCTAATCTACCTAATGTCGTAGTCGTGTTACTATTATCACGATCACCACTAACACCAACACCAATACCACCACCACCACCACTGATAAAACCAATTGATAATGATTCTTTACGAATGTCAGAGGACGTACTACTATCGCTAGGACGGCTAAACAAACTCTGAATGTCTTTATCGTACGATGACGAACTGGTAGAAGTAGTATTAGTAGTATTAGTATTAGTTCTACTATCACCGAACAATCTCACGTTGCCGTTGGTTGATGCTGATTTTGATACCAATGTTCTCTTTCGTAATTGTTCCAAGTTTTCTCGAGGAAAATGTCTATCCACAACTCTTCCTTCTTTTTCTTCTTCCTCTTCCTCTTCTTCTTCTTCTTCTTCTTCTTCCTTTTCTCTTTTACAACCACCACCACCACCACCACTTTCTTCTCTTCCACCACCACCACCAACACCACCTCCACGACTACCACTTGTAGTACTTCCAACGACACCTCCTCTTCCTTTCCCTCTTCCTCTCCCTCCTCCTCCTCCTCCTCGAGATTTATCTCGGAGCTTGGGACGATCTCGAGTTTGCTCGGAGGTGTCGCTGGAATCTGGTCCAACGTGTTGAGGACCCTCGTCTGAAATACTCGAGCTCTGTTGCTGCTGCTGCTGTTTGCTCGACTTCAACGATGGTATATGCTTCCTTCTTATTATCACAGGAGGCGGTAGCCTATTCGTCGTCGTCGTTGTTGTTGTCGTAGTAGTAGTAGTAGTAGTAATACTAGTTCTCCCTTCAATCACGTCGAATTGACCTTTAACCAACCTCAGCGCTATCTGTTCTTCCTCCCTTGACGATGATCCCGGAGGCTGGGACTTGGACAGTTTTTCCTTGAACAGCTGAATTTTGCCGGAATATTTTTCACGATTTTAAATTGTTATTATTATTAATTCTCCCTCTCACCCCCACTCCTATCACTTCTTCTTCTTTTCTGCTTTTTTTATTTATTTATTTATTTATTGATTGATTGATTGATTGATTATTTTATTACGTCGATTTATTCTAATTTTTTTTCTTCTTCTTATTCTTCTTCTTCTGACAAATGTTTCGACGATTTTGAAAGACAATTGGGTTGATTTATCGTCGATTATAATTTCAAACTGGTGTTCTTAGATATATATGTATATATTTGTTTATTTTTTTTTTTTGGTTTCTTTCTTTAGAATTATTTCCTTTTAAAATCTTTTAGACTCTCTCTTTTTATTCTCTCTCTCTCTCTCTCTCTCTCTTTCTCACTTTCTTCCCTTCAGTGCTTTTTTCTAATTGTGCAAATGATTATTAACATTTATCAAACATGTGCGCATCCGTTTGTTTTTTTTTGTATTATCTTAAAGTATTTCTTTCTTTTTTTTTTTTTGTTTTTTGTTTCTTTTCGGTTTGTTTCTCTCTTCACTCGAGTACTGAATATTATTTTTTTACTGGTTATATCGCATAAACCGATATATATATATATTACAGAGATAAAATGA